TGCAGTTCCTAACAAAGAGTCCCTCTCCAGCTCCCTTGTAGGCCCTTCAGATACTGGAAGGTTGCTATGAGGTCTCCACACAGTCTTCTCTTCTCCAGGCTGAACAGCCCCAGCTCCCTCAGTCTGTCTTCATAGGGGAGATGCTCTAGTCCTCTTAGCAACTTTGTGGCCTCCTCTGGACTTGCTCCAACAGTTCCATGTCCTTCTTACGCTGAGGACACCAGAACTGCACCAAGTATTCCAGGTGGGTTTCACGAGAGCAGAGGGGAAGAATCACCTCTTTTGATCTGCTAGCAACACTCCTTTTGAAGCAGACCAGGATTCCATTGGCTTTCTGGGCTGCTAGTGCACACTGTAGCTTATTGTGAGCTTCTCATCCATGTCCCTAACTTTTTTTTGTTTACAGCAATATAAGAAGACCACAGGGAAAAGCAGTGCTATTAGTCATTGCATGATTTCTGTTAATATTAAGGCTATAGAGATATAAGAAATATTTGTACTCAAAATATATTATTCTATTATTTACATTTATCAACCCAAATATATAGAAGTTATAAAGGCATCAATATAACCAACTTTTCTTCAGTCTCTTCTGATGCTTTCCTAAGTTCTCCTCCTGTCAAAGCCTGGGAGCCATAAACACCAGGGAAATCTCTTTGTGAAAACTGGAGCAACTGTTAAACATATTTTTGTAAACCTGTAGGTAGCATCTTAGTATACACTAAGCCTGTGGACTCCAAAGTGTAAATTAAATCTGAGATTATGCAAGATAATACCATCAACTGCAGGAAGAAAATTTTATTAATTACTAAAATAAATATCTTTAAAAGTGTTTATTTAATCTTTATCTCATCCTTTCTTTAGTTTCTTTTTTCATGTATGTTTTAGAATTACATCTGCATACAGATGTACATGTATATAGTTTATAAATGTAAAGATATATGTGTATATATACTGGGGGTGCATACCCAAAAGTGTTTTACTGGTAGGTGTGCATGATCAAAATTGTTTGGAGACCACTTCATTAAAATATAAGCCTATAAATTGGTATTGGGCAAATTCAAGACTTCTTAATAGATAAAGATTAGTAAATTATAGTAAATATTACTAAACTGTGAAACAGCAAAAACTTAACAGATCAATCCTTCAATCTACTTTTTTATAATGAAAAAGTTTCCAGCTACCAAACAATGACATATAAACGTCTTTGCTCAGTGTAACCATAGGTATAAAAACAGAGGCAAGGAGATCTCCCAATGCCACTTTCTTCCTCTGTCATGTTTCTGATCAATTGCTAGGAAGGACCATCCCAGTGAAAGTGCCTCCTGCTGCTGCTGTTGCCCTCCATCCAGCCATGTCCAAGGGGCAGCATCAGGCAAAGCAGGCAGGGTCATGCAAGGTTCTCACAAGACCTGCTGAAAGAATGTCACCCACACACTCTCAATCATTGTAAGCCTCTCATCCCTCCCAGCAACACAACCCCTTGCCGACTCTGTAATTGTCCTCCAGACATATGAATTGGAATTTCCCTGTGCCTAGGCAGAGTTTAGCAGATTGAGCCACCGTGGGTGGGAGACTTACCTCTGGGGGAAAAGGACAGAGAGATATATATGTACAGCACTAGCTAAAATAAGGCATGCCCAAAGGACAGTTATTCTCAAGAAGAGAAATATGCTGACAACAATAAAGTTCATAGTTTGTAAGCATAAAGAATATTTTTTCCGTTGCCAAGTGAAAGTAAACTGTAAACTACACTCCCTAACAGAAAAGACACTGGTAAGGAATGACCTTAAAAGCCAACTCAGTCTTGCTAGTACTTCAGGGACTAGCTGGCCAAAATATTTAAAATAAGTAAATAATAACATAATGCTGTGGTTTAACCCCAGCCAGGCACCGAACACCACACAGCCGCTCGCTCACTCCCCCACCAGTGGAATGGGGGAAAGAATCAGAAGGGTAAAAGCTAGAAAAACTCATGGGTTGAGATAAAGACAGTTTAATAGAGAAAGCAAAAGCTGCACACACAAGCAAAGCAAAACAAGGAATCAATTCACTGTTTCCCATGGGCAGGAGGTGCTCAGCCATCTCCAGGAGAGCAGGGCCCCATCACGCGTAACGGTTCCTTGGGAAGACAAACACCATCACTCCAGATGTCCCCCCTTCCTCCTTCTTCCTCCCACCTTATATACTGAGCATGATGTCATATGGTGTGGAAAATCTCTTTGGTCAGTTTGGGTCACCTGTCCTGTCTATGTCTCCTCCCAAGCTCCCATGCACCCCCAACTTCCTTGCCAGTGTGCCAGTATGGGAAGCAGCAAAGGCCTTGGCTCTGTGTGAACTCTGTTCAGGAATAACAAAAACATCTCTGCACTATCAACCCTGTGCCCTGCACAAATCCTAAACACAGACCCATACTAGGCACTGTGAAGAAAGTTAACTCTACTTCAGCTCTAACCAGAATAAAGAAAACATTTACAAAGAGGCCGATCTTTCCTACTGAGGCCAGTTTAATCTTGACATAGGCCTGTCATGGAGCTCTGAGAGACAGGCCATTGCTGTTTATTGAGACCATCTGGAATCTTTCAAAATCCATTCAGATTAAATGCACCCAGAGGTCTCTTTCTGCTAGGGCTTCAGGCAGATTAATTAGAAAAGACAAAGTGCATAAACACAAGTCATGTTCTGGCTTAGCCATTCAAAGCAAGCAATAAATAAAGAGTGCTCAAGCAGTACCAACGTGATTCTATGGAAACACAGTAAATAAAAATTAGGGCTATTAGTGCTCCTTATCCTGTAGTTCTGGGCCATATGCCCAGGCTATGTGCTGCTGTCCCTTTCCTCACTGAAAGGCATTCAACATCAGTCTCTCAAAGGCTCTCACAAGAGCTTTCCCTCCTCCTCTCCAAATAAACAACAAAAACAAACTAAATACTCTGAAAGCTTTCCTAGCAGTCAGCCTGTGGCATACTTTTGCCATCCAGGACTGTAACAACTCCATGGTATTTCACCCTCCTCCACATCATGTCCATATCATGAGACACATGCAATTTTCCTCAATAGCAGGCTGCCAGGTTGATTGCCTACAACTATGGACACCTTCTGACAATGCTGAAGCCAGCAGGATTCTGCTCAGTGCCCTTATTACTTGTCTGAATAAAGCCCATAAACACAGATCCCAAAGAGCCAATAAATGGGCCAACCTATATGTCTGGCCCACAAGTGCTCAAAGGAGGTGTGAAGGTATTCATCATAACCTGGCCACAGTCAGGACAGAGAAGCCTAGAGAACTCCCAGGGCTAAAAATCCATATTTTACTTTCTAGCTTGAGCTGTCAGGAACTTGAGTGAACCTGTATTCTCACACTTCCTGCAGAATTAGTCGAGCAAGACCAGATACTGCTCATGGATGAAGCACTACCCTAGTACAGTCCTGTCCCTTTCATTATTTACTATGTGACTGAAATTATCCTGAGCAAAGTCAGGGTTGGCAGGGGGTCCTGTGCAGTGAAGAGGTGGAATGGCTCCTGCTTCTCTGCTGGGAGGGAGGTGGCAGATTGAAGAGACTGTCTGTCCCTGTCTGTATGTAGTTTGTGAGATTTTGACAGAAACAATGCACTGAAGGCTCTGGTCCAGGGATCATGCTTTGCCCTCATGTCTGCAGCTGATGGGCCAAAATGGCATTACCATGTTCAGCAGCTATACCATGCCAGCATCCTGTGTGCCAGAGCTCAGTCAGAGGCTGCAGGCTGCAAGACTGAAACTTGTTCTTGAATCCAACCAAGCAGTGCACCCTTGCCAATTCCTCTCTTAAATTTTAAATACCTCAAGTATATGTGTAATATTATATATTATATA